AAACAGATTTGTGTCCCTTTCCCTTTTTGGAAACCAAAGACTGATGGATGAATTTGATCTTTTATCTGGTGGAGAATTCTTTCACAGGTTTTAGAGAGAGACAGGATGTCAGAGCAATTCGTCTCTATTCATCAGGGCATCCTGGTTTGGGGACGGAAATAATGGTAGCTTGTTTCCAGGCAGTGGTCAAGTCGCCTGAAGTATATGTTAAGTTGAAGAAATCAAGAAGAGGCTTTCTTCCCTTTACCTTTGCAGGGAGTCGGATGACGTCATAAGGGATTCCATCCTCCCCAGGTGCACTAGATTTGCTAATCTTAATGGCTGCAAGAAGTTCATGACTTATCAATGGTGCATCAGCCTCATCGAAAAGTTGGCAATGATTGTCAATTTTATTTTTGTGTTTAATTCAATTGGGCGACTGCGTATGGATAATGGAAGATTATCGAGAGAGGAATCTTTGCAGCATTTACTGAGGAGTGCTAAAGCTACCCTTTCTGGGTGAGAGTGGGGAGTCACATTGTATGCATTGCCTTTAATCTTGTTGATTTCCCTCCACACATTACTCATGGGAGTCGTGGAGTCAATCGATTCTGCCCAGGCATACAAACTCTCTTCACGTTTTTGAGTTATTACCTCATTGAGCTTTTTACTAAAGAATGCAGGGCCCCTAGCGAAGTATGGGTTTCTTCCCAAGTGATTTAGCTGATTTACTGTAGACCTTATATGCTTTCTAGGTAGCTTTATTTCAGGATTTTTATTCAGACCTATGTTTGACAGCGTTTCTGGGGTGGAGTTGGTTAATGATGTTACCAACTTGTTGGCAGAGCGTTTCATTAAAAAGATCAAGGCTGGTAGGAGTACCAGCAGTCAGTCCCTTTAATAAACTCATCATGATGTTTAAGATATTCAGCATATGTGTTGTCACGTTTCGCATCGATCCCTTTTGATTCCTAATGAAAATATAAAATCCTTTTGTAGAAGGATTAGCAATATTAGTTTTTTCGTGATATGCGTATCCTGTAATTTTTACATAATGATCATCAATTCTGACTTCCTGAGGGCAACACACATCAACATCTTCAGAGTGAAGATACTGAGAAAGGGTTGCCTTGCGTTTCTGTAAGTTGTTAATGTTCTAGGTAATTCATTACAAAAGATTATTTGGAAGCATCATTTACTTGACCATTTCCAAGGCCCACTGCAGGGTGAGGCTGTCGTTGCTCGAGGAGGAACGTAAACATCCTTTCCTGGAACTGGGATTGCTGGACCATCTTTTTGTTGCCTAAAGAACATCACTGCTCCATCTGCTTGAGTAGTATTTGTAGCAGATCCTTTATTTCACTGTTGGACTCTTGATTGGCCTGCTGCAATGAGTCCTGGGCTGGAGTCGGTGCTGCAGCTGGTGTCGGGGTTGGTGCTGGAGTTGAGGGGCGTTAACTCCTGTCAGTGCTAGTGACGTGGCCGGTGCCATGGCTTTCCTTGCAGGGCCATCAGAGTTGGTGACCTCTGCAGTTGTGGGAATTCCCGCACATCATTAAGGCGAGGGCCTGGGAGGTACTTAAGCGCACAATGGAGAATTTGCATTGTGCTCCTCCCGACAGTTTACGCATTTCCGAGGGATAGTTTTTCCTTCAGAAATCTTTTCTGTGCATTCTGAGCTCCCGTGAGGAAGAGCGCAGTATCGGCATCTCGGTGCGTCTCGCGGACAAACACGAACACCGTGCCCCCACTTCGAACAATTTGAAGCAAAACAGGATAAGGGATTTGAAGACAGCACACCTAAAGAGTGCCATGCCCTCGACCATTTTAATACTTTTGGGGATTACCTCACCCTCGTACATTATGATGACTCTCTGGGTCATCAGTCCTTTTGCTTTCACTCGCCTAACGTGTATGACGCGTCCATTGTACGAAGTCCTTTCTTGTTTCAATTTCCCTTAGGAAGTCGAACACAATGACGTCCGTTAGATAGTGAAAAATGTGTTCATTCTTGCATTTCACATACACATTATATCTCCTAAATTTTAGTTCAATTGATCCCTTTATCTTGTTGAAAGAGTCCATGTTTTAGGGCCTGAGATAACCAGCGATATCCATCCCCATTAGTTTTGAATTTTGAGTCCGGCCTGAAGTGCGCACAGGTGTCCTGGGGGCGTCATCTCCACAGAGGCAGGTAAATGCCTCTTGGCCCTTTTCCGATGTTTCCATGTGCTGGTCTGGGCGGGGTCATTTCCCGAACACACAGGGCCCGACCTGACTTGCCTGTGTATATACACAGCCCCAGCCACACACGCGCGTGTCGCCTACGCCGCGCCCTCACAGCACATCTGTGAGCGTAGTTTTTTCACTTCTTTTCTTTTAGCTTATATCATTTGGATCAATTTACTATGCTGTCAGGCACAGTGATTATGAGAACATTTTCACGCACTGTTGTAATATGCAGCCGGCAGATCTGTGATGACTTAAGGACAGATCACGAGAGGTCACAATGCACGTCTTCACGCTATGAGATACTTTTTTTTTTTTTTTTTTTTTTTTTCGAGAGAGAGAGAGAGAGAGAGAGAGAGAGAGAGAGAGAGAGAGAGAGAGAGAGAGAGAGAAGGGGGTAGAGAGAAAGAAGGAAAGAAGGAGAGAGAGAGAGAGAGAGAGAGAGAGAGAGAGAGAGAGAGAGAGAGAAGGGGGTAGAGAGAGAGAAGGAAAGAAGGAGAGAGAGAGAGAGAGAGAGAGAGAGAGAGAGAGAGAGAGAGAGAGGGGGGGGGGTAGATAGATAGATAGAGAGAGAGAGAGAGAGAGAGAGAGAGAGAGAGAGAGAGAGAGAGAGAGAGAGAGAGAGAGAGAGAGAGAGAGAGAGAGAAGGAGAGAGATGGGGGTAGAGAGAGAGAGAAGGAAAGAAGGAGAGAGAGAGAGAGAACGAGAGAGAGAGAGGGGGGGGGGGAGGGAAAGAAAGAGAGAGAGAGAGGGATAGACAGAGAGGGGGAAAGAAGGAGAGAGAGAGAGAGAAAGAGAGAGAGAAAGAGAGAGAGAGAGAGAGAGAGAGAGAGAGAGAGAGAGAGAGAGAGAGAGAGAGAGAGAGAGAGAAGAGAGAGAGAGAGAGAGAGAGAGAGAGAGAGAGAGAGAGAGAGAGAGAGAGAGAGAGAGAGAGAGAGAAAGGGTGTTGAGAGAGAGGGGGGAGGATAGAGGGAAAGAAGGAGGGAGATAGCCAGACAGAGAGAAAGGGGTAGAAAAAAGAAGAAAAGAAAGCTAGAAGGACAGAAAGACAGGCAAACAAACAAATAAACAGAAAGAAAATAAAAAAGAGAAGTCAAAGAAACCCACAATCAAAACAAGGAAGACAACCGGAATGAGAAGAGAAGAGACCGAGGGAGGCAGCGTTATTTTACTCTCCTTTTCGTAACTCCGGGCATAGAAAGTCCGCCGTGGCATCTGGGCGCCCCATAACGCGACAGTGCGCCCGCCTGCCCTCCGCTGCAACATACTTCTCTCGCCCTCTCTATCTCTCTTGTGCCAAAGAAGATAAGAGTAAGTGTTGAAAAATATCTTAGTAACTTTTTTTTATAATCTTTGTCCTGTTGATGTTTTTTTTTTCTCTTTCTTGGCTTTTTCTTATTTTTTTCTTTACCTTTTTTATTGCGCGAGAGGAGAAAACTTGTCAACATGTTTTATTAATTCCGCATGTGATGTGTTGATACGTATTCCTCATGGATTTGATTATGCTGATCCTTTTGATGAATATGCTTGCCTAGAAATGTGCTTTATGAGTGTAAATGATCAGTTGCTAGAGCTAGAGTGCTGCAAGAGATGGCGCGATGTTGAATTGTTCGTTGAAATTTGTTGTTATTGTTGTTGGTTTTCTAACTTTATTTTGTGCAAATATCGACTAATCAAGGCACTTTTGTTTGTTCTTTGGTCATGTATTGTGCATTAGGATCTGTCATATGACTACAATCATAATCCTTAAATGAGTTGCGATAAAACTGGTGCAAGAGAAATGGAGAATGTCTTTGCTTGGAGAGAAAAGTTTAGTTGTAGTTCTTAGAGCTTGGGAAAGATATGCGTAACAAATTACTGCCGCACAAGCACTCCTTTTCTCTCAGTAACTCATTTCTTCTCTTACTCTCCCTATCAATTTCACTTCAGTACTCTCTCTCTCTCTCTCTCTCTCTCTCTCTCTCTCTCTCTCTCTCTCTCTCTCTCTCTCTCTCTCTCTCTCTCTCTCTCTCTCTCTCTCTCTCTCTCTCTCTCTCTGCCAAGCTCACCAGTGAAACCACACCATGTTTCAATACAACAAAGGTAAACCAAAAAACCTGTTTTCGAAAACCTAACCACCACAGGCAGTGAATATGGAGCCGCCTCTTCCATGACCTCACCAGACCTCACGACAAATGCCGCAGACCTTTTAATTGCACACATTTTTCTCATTAATTTGAGTGCGTATATATGCGTAAGTACATAGGCACAGTCGTCCTACGGTAAATGTGTATGCGATGCCTATTACTATTGCGTATTCGTATATATGTATATGATTATCGCACACACACAAACGCGCACACGCACACACACACACACACACACACACACACACACACACACACACACACACACACACACACACACACACACACACACACACACACACACACACACACACACACACACACACACACACACATACACTAAATAAAAACACACTACACACTTTCATTCAGCTGTTGTGGTTCGGAAGGGGTTTCTCTCACACGCTCGCATATAAATGACCGCCACGCCCCCTCCCTCTCCCGCTCCCCCCAAAATACAGCTGGAAATTGAGGAAAATCATAAATAAATAAATAGATATCTTAAAACAAAACTTTCCCCCCAAAAAAATATATATAAACTCATGTAATATCGAGTCTCTATCTTTCACGACCCGAAAGGGAATTTCCTCGTAGTATTTTCGAAAGATGTCTCTCCCAAGAAAGAACCATCGCCCTAGTTCTCGGATCAGTGTTTGTAAACAAAGATTCTTGACATCTGTTGTTCTGGAGTGTTTTTATTCTCACTAAAATCGCGTTTTCTGGCCTTCTATGTCGTTCTAGAGCTGCGAGCGAAAGGTCATCCATCAGATTATATTTTCTTTACATGTAGTTAAAGCCTTAAGGTAAGTGATGGCCGATTATTGTATTTATATGATTTGTTAAGTTGAGTTTTGAAGTATCGGGTATGGGATATAGATTTCCAATTAATGTCTTGTCCATTTATTTACAGTTCTGGGTGATTATTAAGCATATGCGTAAATATGACATAGGCGAGGTATTTATTTATCAGTTTTCCTGTATCAGAACTAGGGTTTACATTATAAGTATTGAATTGTTTTTATATTACTTCATTTCTATTTTTATCACACACTGGCTTATCCTCTTACCGATTCCCTTGATTTATGAAAGGGATGGTTTTGGAGAATTGTGGCTCTTGTTAATGAGTCTGACACCTTGAGCTGTGTTCTTATACCTTTTTGATGTTATGAGTTGATATTATTTGATCGGTGGTCTTTTAGATATAATTTTCCTGGTAATATTTTTTGTAGAGGGAATTTGAATTAATGTAACATGTTATGGTGTGATTAATATGATGTGGAAAATAATTGTGAAACAAAATAGAAATATAAGTGGTAATATGAAACTTTTGTCAGTTTAGAAAATAATGGTATGCATTAGTTTACATATTTTGACCACTATTTTACTTTATAGGACATACTAAGTCATAATATGTTTTTGTTTAGAATACCATTGTAATTGCTGTTGGGAGATTATAGGTTATCAGTTGTCAGGAAACTAAAGTTCACATACATTATGTTGAGCAAAATTTTACTTAGATAAATGAACATAGAAGATATATTTAACAGGTTTCAGTTATATTTTCCTTAGATACATATGTATCTGCGAGATGACAGAACATAGATATATCAGACATTAATTGAAGATTAGCCTGATATCTGTGACCTGTTGCTCATTACTCATATAATAGTTATTACCACAACCAAGGGTAACTTAAATCTGCCAGAATTGCTGTTTATATTCCCCTCTGTTGTGATGTAGGATTGGCAACTCCAGTTATTTTCAGTTTATCAAATCCTTGGATCATCTTTGCTAGCTTCCAGTGTGGTAGATACCCAGCTTCATGTATTTCCACCATGATGGCATTTAAAGTTAGTGGAGGCAGATGTCAATTCAGTGTTTTTGATGAAATCAGACTCCATTTTACTAAATTAAGCTTTGATGTACCTGTTGCAGTATATTGCATTATTGGAACTATTTGCAGATGGCTCTCTATCTCTCACCAAATCTTCTATTTCTTCACCGAACATATTGCAATGATGTTAACAAGACATCTGCTGATGACCTCAGTGATAGTATGCGGAATTTAGAAGGAAGTGTGTGGTCCGATTTTGCTCTTGAGAAAATATAATAAATTACTTGTCATGGATGTCAGGAGAATCTTCATGTTGTGTCTGGGTATATGAATATGTTTTGTACTCTTGTTGACACATGTATTTCAGATGACAATATAACTGAAATGCTACATCTCTTATAAGGTGAGGTTATTCCTTTCTATTAATATCTTATTATACTTGGGATGTTTTTGGTTGGGGCAGTGTTTAGGGGAAAATATTTTAAAAATGTAGGTAGACTCTGCCTAAGACTTAGAATTATTCCTATTAGTTCTAAAGTTTTACTGTCATGGAATTTCAC